CTGTTAAGACAGCAGGTAAAAGTTGGTCTGTGTTCTGTCGGAGCTGCCTGCGACGCGCTGATGAGATCCAAAAAGATCGAAATCGCGATCCGCGTTTGGCAGTTTCGACAGAATACAGACCACTTCGAATTATTATATTCGAAAAAGATTGTTAAAGGTGAAAAAGAAAAGGATGAAAGGTGGTGCTACAGGCGAATGATGAGGATAACGTGGATAGTGAAGGTCAGAAATGAGGAGGTATTAGAAAGAGTAGGAAAACAGAGGGCGCTATCGAAGTCAATGAGAAAAAGGCGAGATAGGTTGGTAGGACATCTTTTCAGATGTGAACTTGTGAACGGCTAGTCAGAGACATTTTAGAAACAGAAACAGGAGTTGAAAGGAATAGAAGCAGATCTAGATTAAATTTCTGTTCATAAATAGTTGAGGATGTGGGATGCTGTACTTTTAGAGAAATGCAAAGATTGGCTCAAGATATTAGACGACTGACCCTATGATGACGATGACAACAATATGATTGTGTTGTCACAGTAATAGATGCTCCTTGAATCCTTTTGTTGCAAAACCCTGAAAACGGTTGCTTTAATAAGGAAAATATCATCTGAACTCTGAAAATTGTTCCAAACTGACCAAACTTTTGATTAAAGCCTAACATTCCTCAAAAGCATTAAATTGTAATTATGTATTGGACTTATAATTTATATGAAAAGATGGCTGAAGGTATTTGTACGAATTTTCTTAATATCAGGCCGTATTTTTGATGATAGCAGTGCAGTATAAATGTGCGATATATAATTATATTATTTATTGTAAATTTGTAATTGTCTATAAATAGAATGAGATTCTCTGTGATCTCACTTTTCTATATATTGCGGCAAAAAGAATTTTTATCAAAAATGGATTATGTTTATTAATCTGACTACTTCAGAATAAGATTAAAATTTGTTGTAATTGTCGAACCACGAGCACGTACATGTTTAATGAAGTGATTATATTTCTTAATACATTAAAATTCTCATTTTTTAATTTTTTTTTTCGCAAACAATGGGTGAATGTTTCTTCCATTGTATTTGATTTGACAGCTTCTCAAGAAATAATTTTTTACACATTATGGTCATATGAATAAATTTAATTTTATATGTGTTTGGTTGTATATATAATTATGTTATCTTCACAAACACTAAATATTTATACTGAAAAACTTGTATGATAGGATACTGCGTATTTTTAATAAGATAAAGATACAGTAGGTAATTATACAAATGGAAATAAAATAAATGACAAATTTCACAAAGAATTACATATTTCTACTCTTTTCGGCTATTAGTCCATTTATCAGTAGTATCAGTATTAGTAGNAGCTTCTCAAGAAATAATTTTTTACACATTATGGTCATATGAATAAATTTAATTTTATATGTGTTTGGTTGTATATATTATTTGGTTTCCAGCTGTTAAGTCATCGGCCATCCTCATACTCAATCGTCGTATATATTCCCCAGGTAACGACATTGTGATGAATTGTTATTAGTGTTGGACCACACAGGTATATACAGGCGCCTATTTGTTCATTACAAAGGAACCCAGCGTCGTTAATTTTATTTTATTTTGATCTTCATCTTTAACCCCCACAAAGGCATACATATGTGTATTGGTAACCGGGAACAACAATTACAAATACTTACAGACAACACGTTTCTTTTCTTGCGACAATATAAACAACATTCATATATATATATTCAACATTACACCTACAAGAAAATAATTGTAAATGTTAATATTTAGGGTTCCATACCTTAAAAAAAGTAAAACGAAACCCCTACAGGATTACGTCGTTGCTCGTCTATCTATCTGTTTGTCGATCCGGACCGTCAAGACGTCAAAAATGTCACTGTTCATCAAAATCAGTACACTTCTAGTTGAGTTTTAAAGTGACTTTTAAATTTGGACTGATGCAAGTTCAGTAAAACCCCCTACAAATAGTTTTTACAAGTTTTCATGTTTCTGATTCATTCGGTGCGTGGGTCAACCTCGCACTTGACCACTTTTTCTAATAAATTGTCAGTTATATAGGGGTCCAGCAGCTGGACAAGTAGTCCAGAAAAAGAAAATTACCCAGAGCAAAACACAATTGTAGCTCCCCCCCTCTTCCTTATCACCAGAAAGCAAACTATGTAGATACATAATAATATATACAGTGCCGTAACTAATTTCTGGCGTGCCCCGCAATCTCCCCTGAATAAAAACAAAAAGAAAATTCATTTTGCAACCCTAATGGGCATACGACTCAGTACCAAAGCTTGATGGAGTGTCACACCCTCGACATCCCTGGCTCGGTACCTTCCTGGACCTGCTTTATCTATATATGGATAAGATGGTCTGTCAGCGATTGACACTACTATAGTACATATCATTTTGATTTGAATAAAGTTATTCAAAATGAAAAAGAATGCGTTTTTTGGTGCTAAGAAAACGTACCGTGACTTTGGAGTCCGGGGTTAGCCCCCCGTTTCATCCTTCCTTAAGTCGAACCTGACTGGACTTTCTATGTAATGAGATTAGAAGACGAAAGAGGGAATTACATCACTTTTCATATGGGATGTCAGACAAGATTTAAACGTAATCAGTCTTAAATTGTCAGATAAAGAAGTATGTAATGTGGCTAAAATTTTCATTTCAAATAATGTGGCAATGTAATTGCCTATTCCATTTTGGCATTTTCATTTTTTTTTTTCTAATCTAAATCTGATTCAGAAATGTTATTTGCGCAATTTACGTCATTCATTCCTGTTCAAAACCAATTATGATACGAGACACCTTGGTTTACTACCTTGTTTTATAGATCGGTTAAGCGTTAAGCCTTTCTAATGCATGTCTCTGGCACTTTACCGATGCGATAATCAATAAAATTAATTGATAAATTTGCGCCATTCGCGAGAGCGGAGGATTTTCCCGCACCGTGAATTTCACATGTTTGGCTTTACGCTTCAAAGAAACAAGCTGCTAATTCTCGTTTATCTCTAGATCTCGAGATCGCATGCAAATTGCACATGCAAGACCAGAAGTCCGAAGAAAAATAAACAAGAATAATATAAAATGCATCAACGAGCGCATTAATAAAGTGTAATCATAATATTAATAACGATTATAAAAGCCATAATAAAGTGTAAAGTGATATTTTCCCGGTATTTATGACAGTTATACCATTACTGCAGTCATCCTAAATTCATTAATAGTCATTCGAATGCATGCTGGGGCAACTAAACATTTCTCATATTTCTCGCGTGGAATCGCGATTGGAATCGAGCGGCACATCGATTACACATTCATACCTCATTGATTACTTGTTCCACGTCGATCCCAATAAAATAACAACACGAACTATCGACTTAATAAAATATCGCGACGTAAAGACATAAAATTATGCGAGCGTTCGAGAAGAAGCTGCACTCGGTGTGACTGTTCACAAGTACAAGCCATTTACTCAATAACTGCAATCGAGAATACGGGTGGTCTACAGTTTTTGTCTCTTTTTTCGATTATTTTCATGAGATTTTACATCAACGCATTATCCATTATCTTACGTTATGATACTCCCTCTAAATGGCGCACAAATAAAAAATCGGCGGACAAGTGCAGACTTAACCCGCGCGCCGAGGGTTCCGCATACGTTATGACTAGTAAGTAGATATGGGGATATGTTGGTAGAGCACATTATACGCCCAACAGTTGATAGGGTTGGAGGTATTTTAAGTTATGTGTTGTAAGTGCATAGATATACCCAAAAATGGCTCCGTATTCTAATTATGTACTTCTTACAAAATTGTAACAGTACGGATTATTTAGGAATTTTACAATATGAAATTTTTATTTTTATGAAAAGAAAAAGATTGTTAAAGGTGTATGTCAGGAGCGCGACGCTGTATGGGTGCGAAATATGGACGTGGGCGCGGCGGAAAAGAAAAGGTTAGAAGCGTTCGAAATGTGGTGTCACTCGTGAGTGATGAGGATACCGTGGATAGAGGAGGTTAGAAATGTGGAGGTATTAGAATAGGCGAACAGGGATCACTAAGAAATAGACGAAATAGGTTGATAGGACACCTTCTAAGACATGAGTGGCTTTTTAGAGACATATTAGATGCGGAAACAGGAGTTAAGAGGATTAGATTACTGCTCGCAAATAGGTAGTTAAGGATACGGAATGTTCTAGTTTTGGAGAAACGCGAAGGTTAGCTCATCAGGATAGGAAAAAGTGGAGGTGCGTGTCCAACCAATCTTAGGACTGACGACTTTATGATGATAAATAGGGACCCTTAAAAGAAGTTAATGTCCAGGATCAGCGACTGGATTCATGCTCATCAGGAAAGGAAAAAATGGAGGTGCGTGTCAAACCAATCTTAGGACTGACGACTTTTTGATGATAAATAGGGACCCTTAAAAGAAGTTAATGTCCAGGATCAGCGACTGGATTAAAGCCAATTTTAAATTGTATGATATAAAAGCATGACAGTGTCGTAAGATTACATATGTCTTGAAAAAATTTTGTGATTGCGAAATCGAAATTCATAATTTCGGTTCTTTTTTAACCAATTTTTAAACTCGGTCGGTTCTTTACAGATAAATGTCTGGATTATTATAATAAAATTATTCTAAGGAAAAATAATCAGTCGAAATGCCATAGGATGCCCCAATAAAAAAGAAGAAGAAAAATAATTAAACAAATTTATTTATATGAAGTACATACATTTATTTTTATTTTAGTAAATCTTAGAATTTATTTGCGTGTAACTTAACAGTGTGAAACTTAGCATACCCTTCTGCGAGTGTAAGAAGTCCGTTGTATATTTTTTCTGTTTCGAATTCGTTCATTAGGATTTCCCGTTTGTTTCTTCTCAATGAATCCCTTGGTCTCTTTTTGTAAGGTCTTCTAATAATAGGTCTTCTTGTATCAGGGACATTCATTGGCGCTGCTGTTGTAGTTGTTGTAGTAGTTGTCGTAGTTGTAGTGGTTGAAGGGATGTAGTAATAATTATTTTTGGCTTTAATTGCTTGAACAATTAGACACAACAAGTAACCACCGAAAGCCAGAAAAGATAATGTTGTTACACTTAACTGAAGAATGGATTGGATATCCTTTTTATCTTCTTTTTTAGGATGATAATATTCGTCATACGGTCCTTCACGTCCGTGATACTTTTCTTCGGCGTGCAGGGGTAATGCTTCCGGGGAGATATCCTCTCTCTTTTCTGCAATGCTTTGTATTTCTTGTACATTTTCTTCTGATGATTTTGGTGCCAAATGTTTCTGTATTTCTAACAGTTTTTCCAAGGGTAATTCGCTAAGGGCTGTCAGATCTGATAAACTCGTTAGGATTTGTTGGCCAGAACTAAAAAATAATTTTAACGAAAAGCATAGTGAAAGATAAAAGCCAGCTAACGGTTGACGCATTTTAGTTGATACTACCACTATGATGAAGTTCAAGGGAAACACATAAATGTGACAATAGATTTTAAGATAATATTGTTCTTAACTAACCGTTAAAGTTGTCCCAAATCGACCTTTTTGTTTTGCATGGTATCCCATGCGTTGGTTTTATTTTATGAAATTGTTCTCTTTAGAACGGCTTCAGACAAAATGAAGTCAACGTGGATTGTGTGCGTTATGCTGTGTTTAGTTGCGTTAAATAATGCTAACAGTGTTTTTCAAAGATTGAAGGAAGGTTTGCAAATGGCTGGAAAATATTTGGATTTTGAGCAACATTCAAAAAGTATAACAAACATGGTCAGTAAAGCTTTTGTTTCAAAGATGATCAAAGAAGGAAATGAAGAAACTGGCGAAAAAGAGCATGTTTTTTCAGGCTTCTTAAGGTTGCTCGGTTTTGGCCCGAGAAAACTGGGAGCTGTGGTATTAAACGCCGTAATTTTTATTGCTCAACTGGTGGGTCTTTTTCTCCTATAAATACACAATAATTCAACAATAGTATTATTTTTATAGATAAGTACATCTTTAAGTAAACCTTCACCACCGTATTTAATTCATGAGAGAAAAATCAATGAAAATAACATGTTTGAATGGATCTCAAACAAATCCGGTATATCCGATCTGTTAACGTATGCTAAGAGCGAAAATCTTGTCGACGATATTATAAAACATATCAGAGAAAATAGTTTAGACGAGGATTCAGGTTGTTTGCAACTTTTGTTTTGCAAAAGCTCGCCGTTTGTTGAAGGAATGCAGAAAGCTCTTAATAACGTTCATACACAAAAAGGGGTCAAAGCGTTCTTTGAGTTTCTACCAAATAGAACGGAAATTGTAAGAAATGGACAATGGTGTGAAAAGAAATTTCCATATTGTACAGTTCATTTTTGATTATTTACAGTTTCTGTCAGTGTGTTTCTAGAAATAAACAATTGTTAGTCCATTTTAAACATGTATACTGTTTAAAAGGAATACTCACCCCTAATTACCACAAAAAAAATTATTTGAAAAAAATTTTTGTGGTAATTAGGGGTGAGTATTCCTTTTAATTTTTAATTAATATCTACCACAGTCTCCTCTTTCTACTTTACTATGTATACTGTTTATAATATGGAAGAATTTAAATGAAATACAAAATAAACTATTCACAAATATGTAAAATTTTGGGGATATGTTTTAATATGGTGAATAATTAATTGTACACAATTATAATCTATTATTTGTTTGCATATGATTTGTTTGATTGTTGTTTGTTACAATTTTACGCCTTAACTGCTCAACCGATCATCATGAGATTTTGTCCACACATTAGCTGTGGTACAGAAAAGGGCATAGGGTACCTTTTATCCAAAAGAAAATACTGAATAGAAGATTTGTTTTTTTTGTGTTTGCTGATGATATTTAACATGAACCTAGCACATCAATGAGAACGATGCCACGGGTAAAACCTATCGTGAAATTTTGTACACACATTAGCAGTAGTACAGAAAATGGTATAGGGTACCTTTAACCCATAAAAACACTACCATTCCTCAGGGATAGAAACATTAGTTTTATGTGGTCGTCTATGATTCTTGACACGTATTTAGGACAACAACGAGAGTGAAGCCGCGGGTAAAAGCTATCATGAAATTTTGTAGACACATTGTCAGGGGTTCAGAAAAGGACATAGGGTACCTTTTATACATAAAGACAATACTGTTCCTCTTAGATAAAAACGTTAGTTTTATGTGGTCGTCTATGATTTTTGACACGTATTTAGGACATCAACTAGAGCGAAGCCGCGGTAAAACCTATCATGAAATTCTGCAGACACATTTTCAGGGGTACAAAAAAGGACATAGGGTACCTTTTATCTATAAAGATAATACCGTTCCTCAGGGATAGAAACATTAGTTTTACGTGGTCGTGTATTCTTGACACGTATTTACGACATCAAAGAGAGTGAAGCCGGGGGTAAAACCTAGTAAGTTTATAAAAATATCAAGCGGACGAAATCGCGGTTACACAGCTACTTAGTATAATATAAAATGCATCATTTTTTTAAATTTTGTCATAACTTACTACCTTTACAATATGTTTTGGAATTATTTAGGTATTTATGCCTGAGAGAGCTTCGTCTGTGTTTTGCTACACTGTAACTTTATTAAGAAAGGATATTGTACTTAATTAATTCATAAAATTTTCCCGTAATTTTTTTTTATTTTGTGTTTAGTTTAAATTGTACGTCATGCATAATAGTAAATCAACTCAGTTTTGTATACAAATGTTGTTTATATCTATATTTATCTTTATAGGAGAAATCATATTCTTTTTAGTATCCACTGACCAGTTTATAATCTATTAATTGATCGATAAGTGAAGTTTTTAACTTTAAATACTATGTAGACATTCAGAATATAATAATAGCATGCATTTTACTTATATAAAGGTACTTTATTATGCTTTTTTACTTTTATTTTGTACAGACTTTACATTTGATATTTTCGCTAATATTTTGGTTTCTATATCACTGCACAAAATTTTACGATCATGCGACCTGCCAGATTTTAAATCACAAAGCATTTGAATTTTACAAGTTAAATCGCAATAAGGTCTGCCTTTTGTATCTCTGTAGTAATACCTAAAAAATTGAAAATGTAAAACATTTGTTACTTGTATTGAAAATGTAAAACATTTATTACTTGTAAAATTGCCCGAAAACTATGGGATCGTCGGTCATTTCTTGGATTAGTTTCTCCCATTCCACAGGCCTTAAGGACTCCATGCTGTAAGCTTCTTTTGCCGAATAGAGTTTATACCAATGGGGGGAATTCCCTGGATTGTTGGCTTCTTCTAAATTCGTTGTCCAAGTTTCATGATCAAGGATTTCCTATAATAAAGATTTAGTACACAAATATCTACATTAGATTTGGGCTACGAAAAAGTTACACATTGAAAAACGTGAACAAAAGCGCTTTTGGCAAACGGTAACCCTGAAAGCCTTATATTGAATGTATTTAATATTTTTTTACCCATGTGGCTGTGTCGTGTTCTCCATCGACATAATAGATCCTGTATGCGGGATTATAGTTACCGAATGTGGTTACTGATGGACATAAATAAGCAACGTTCGTAGGTATGGCTGCAAAATAAATTATTTTTATTTTCGGGAGAAAAATGGAAAAAATATGTTGTGGTTAGACATACAAGATGTTTCATCATCATAAAAGACCTCAAACTCGTCTCCATGAGTATGACCAAAGAATTGTCCTGTTATCGTGTTCTGGTAGCGGTTTATGATTTTGTTGTAATTTTTTGACCATTCTTTTAAACAGTCTGAGTACCCGGGTGGTATATGACCTATATGTAAGATGACATAAATACAAATACTTGCATAAATTTGACAATTATTCAAAACACACTTTTCATTTTATTGTACTTAAATATCACACAGAATTTTTGCATATCAATCATAAGATATAAGCAGTGAAAGTGGAGTCAAAATTATAGGAATTTAGGGGGATGTGTTGCAAGAAGTAAAAGCTAGCAGTGGCATTTTCGACAAAATTAAGAAAGGGTTGATAAAGTATCGAAAACGGTAGCAAATTCTACTTGTAATTGTTTTCACAGGTAGGGTAAAAAATTCATTTCGAAGCAAATTTTTTGTTAAACAATTCGTTGTACGTAAAAAATTTAGATCATTTTTTTAAAGAATTTCATTATCTTTCCTTTTTATAATTACTTTAACTGACTTTTGAGCCACAGTCAAAACGCTGAAAAAATGTTTTTTATGAACTTTAACTTAATTAATTTTTTAAGTGATAGTGATTTTGTGTTCCATTTTTAATATTTTCTTTAAAACAAACACCAAAATAAACTTATTTAAAAAAAAATATATTGTTTAGAACAAAAGCCCTTCTTAAATCTAAAGCTACTGGACCATAAACTACTCGAGCTTTCAAAAAGCGTAGTACGTAATAATAATAATAATAAACACTATAAGAATATAATGAATGAGTTTGTAGATTATGTGATGTTATTGTAAGAGAATTTTAGTAAAAATATGTTTCTTTTTCTTAAGTAAGAAACGAATGCATTATTTACCAATTATATGTACTTTTTCTCCTTTACTTTCTGCCTCCTGCAGTTCGTAGACTAACCATTTGAGTTCTTTAGCAGGATCGGTACTGCTTAGCAAAAGCCACCTATAAAAGCAGTTTTATTTCACACATATTAGGGTAGTCCATTTCTCCGAACTAATTTTTGATTTTTTTTGATTAAAAATTTATAATGGTCACTTAAAAATTACAGGAACCCTTAATTTAAAAAGCTTAGAACAGTTGAGTGCCATTTAAAGGTCGTGGTCAAAAACAAAATGTAAAATAAAAATAAATGAAAACTGAATCATACCAACTCAAAGAACTACAATAATTCGTATTTATTGAAATAATTCGAAATCCAGGTCTAATTAATACTGAGTAGAAACCTCCTTGTTGTATCGTAGAATTGGATGTAGTCGGTAACCATTTTTTCCATTGATCTTGAGCTTCTTCGTACAACCAGCGAATCGAATATTCTTCATGATGGACCCACGGCGGCGGAAAACTAATAAAATAATTAATGGGTAGGCCGACTTATAAGATAATTGTCACGAATTATTGTGAAAAATATATCACGATTATAATACATAAAATTGTTATAACAATTTTTGTAAAGAAATTTTAAAATTAAAAATAACGAACTTTCTCAGTTTTATTTACAAAATATTATTTTGAATCATTTTTTCATACCTTCCTGCTGGTACTGCTTCGTGATTTCCAAGTACTGGGAAAATTGGTACATTTGGGAAATATGTTTGCATCAATTTGACATGTTCTTGAAGGTTTCCCACGGTTTGATTTTTCGTCTGATTCCAAATATCGTGAGGTGGCAAATCACCAGTCCAAATAATATAATCTATATCCTAAGAAATATTTAGTACATTTATATATGTTATAAAATTGTAAATCTAGTTGCAACTCATTTGGCTTTTAATAAATATTCTGACTTACTGGATGATTCAATACAATATTTTCGAACATATTTTCAATAAGAATTAAGGGCGCGTCACAGTTTCCAGGTGATCCCCATCTAAACAAACAATAAATAAAAATAATTAATATTTCCCCCAGGCGCACCAAAAGATGTTTCACATAAAAAAAGTTTTTGATATACATTTGGGTACTAACTTTCCAGCAGGTTTAATTTTTTCTTTATTTTCAGGCGTACTATATGACCGGCAGCAAAGGGGTTCCTTGCAATTTATGGGACTTCCTTCCGTATATTCGGGATCAAAATGCGTATCGGAAATTTGCAAGACTTTCAATGAAGGTTTTCCGATCTATAACATAGTGGACAATAAGTAGTTTATTTGAAGTGCTTTGTGGAATTGATATACTACATTCGGCGCTGGTAGCGATTCAATTGGGGGCTTAGGAATATCTGGTAAGTCGATGTCCCATTTATGTGATGCATTTTCGGCTTCTTCGCATGATTCGCCTAAAATCATGTAGCAAATTTCGCCTGGGCCTAAAACGGAAACAGGTACATACGTCCTGGGTTATGAACTTTTGCCCTAAGGAAAATAATTTCCATTCCATAACAGAAAATTCAATTTGTGTCAAATGAGTAAAAAAGGTCACAACTATTTGTTCTGCTTGAATAACCTTCATTTCGATTTCGAAAAGTTGTCTTCTCTTGTTTTCATTTCACGATTTTATTGCGAAGATGCTTTTGACATTTCTGATGAGACAGTTTTTTTTTGCAAAATATATTTGTTATTTAAATGACTGGGTACATTTAAATCCATGTGATTATAACTGAATATGCGATTTATTATGACTGGTTCTGTAGTTTATATTAATTTGTTATAAGAATTAGTGATGTATTATGTGGTTTAAATTTCTCGAAAAGTAGTTAAAAAGTTGCGGTATTCTTTTTTAGCGGACCAAAAAAGCTTTACAAAAGTAAAGTAAAAAATTTACCTATGACCTCGCGTTACACTTTTTTGGCACATACATAACAAATTTCCCAATTTGTTGTGCATATGTATGTGCGGGGATTTATTTTTAATAACGTCTTCTTAATAATAATAANAATTTTTTCTTGATAATCGAGTAAAATTAGTTACAATCTTATTTTCTTTAATCGATTTATTAAAAAATGTTAAAAAGGAACACAAAATCACTGTCGCTTAAAAAAAATATTCAAGGTCAAAGAAACCATTCGTTGTCCGTAAAAAGTTTGGATTAATTTTTTGGAGAGTTCCATTATCTTCATTTTTATAATGACATTAATTGACCTCCGAGCCATAGAAGCCGTAATATTTGCAAAAACGTTTTTTATGAACATTGACCTTGAATATTTTTTTAAGCAACTGTGATTTCGTCTTCCATTTTTAATATTTTCTTTAAAACAAACACCAAAATAAACTTATTTAAAAAAAAATATATTGTTTAGAACAAAAGCCCTTCTTAAATCTAAAGCTACTGGACCATAAACTACTCGAGCTTTCAAAAAGCGTAGTACGTAATAATAATAATAATAAACACTATAAGAATATAATGAATGAGTTTGTAGATTATGTGATGTTATTGTAAGAGAATTTTAGTAAAAATATGTTTCTTTTTCTTAAGTAAGAAACGAATGCATTATTTACCAATTATATGTACTTTTTCTCCTTTACTTTCTGCCTCCTGCAGTTCGTAGACTAACCATTTGAGTTCTTTAGCAGGATCGGTACTGCTTAGCAAAAGCCACCTATAAAAGCAGTTTTATTTCACACATATTAGGGTAGTCCATTTCTCCGAACTAATTTTTGATTTTTTTTGATTAAAAATTTATAATGGTCACTTAAAAATTACAGGAACCCTTAATTTAAAAAGCTTAGAACAGTTGAGTGCCATTTAAAGGTCGTGGTCAAAAACAAAATGTAAAATAAAAATAAATGAAAACTGAATCATACCAACTCAAAGAACTACAATAATTCGTATTTATTGAAATAATTCGAAATCCAGGTCTAATTAATACTGAGTAGAAACCTCCTTGTTGTATCGTAGAATTGGATGTAGTCGGTAACCATTTTTTCCATTGATCTTGAGCTTCTTCGTACAACCAGCGAATCGAATATTCTTCATGATGGACCCACGGCGGCGGAAAACTAATAAAATAATTAATGGGTAGGCCGACTTATAAGATAATTGTCACGAATTATTGTGAAAAAACATATAATGATTATAATACATAAAATTGTTATAACAATTTTTGTAAAGAAATTTTAAAATTAAAAATAACGAACTTTCTCAGTTTTATTTACAAAATATTATTTTGAATCATTTTTTCATACCTTCCTGCTGGTACTGCTTCGTGATTTCCAAGTACTGGGAAAATTGGTACATTTGGGAAATATGTTTGCATCAATTTGACATGTTCTTGAAGGTTTCCCACGGTTTGATTTTTCGTCTGATTCCAAATATCGTGAGGTGGCAAATCACCAGTCCAAATAATATAATCTATATCCTAAGAAATATTTAGTACATTTATATATGTTATAAAATTGTAAATCTAGTTGCAACTCATTTGGCTTTTAATAAATATTCTGACTTACTGGATGATTCAATACAATATTTTCGAACATATTTTCAATAAGAATTAAGGGCGCGTCACAGTTTCCAGGTGATCCCCATCTAAACAAACAATAAATAAAAATAATTAATATTTCCCCCAGGCGCACCAAAAGATGTTTCACATAAAAAAAGTTTTTGATATACATTTGGGTACTAACTTTCCAGCAGGTTTAATTTTTTCTTTATTTTCAGGCGTACTATATGACCGGCAGCAAAGGGGTTCCTTGCAATTTATGGGACTTCCTTCCGTATATTCGGGATCAAAATGCGTATCGGAAATTTGCAAGACTTTCAATGAAGGTTTTCCGATCTATAACATAGTGGACAATAAGTAGTTTATTTGAAGTGCTTTGTGGAATTGATATACTACATTCGGCGCTGGTAGCGATTCAATTGGGGGCTTAGGAATATCTGGTAAGTCGATGTCCCATTTATGTGATGCATTTTCGGCTTCTTCGCATGATTCGCCTAAAATCATGTAGCAAATTTCGCCTGGGCCTAAAACGGAAACAGGTACATACGTCCTGGGTTATGAACTTTTGCCCTAAGGAAAATAATTTCCATTCCATAACAGAAAATTCAATTTGTGTCAAATGAGTAAAAAAGGTCACAACTATTTGTTCTGCTTGAATAACCTTCATTTCGATTTCGAAAAGTTGTCTTCTCTTGTTTTCATTTCACGATTTTATTGCGAAGATGCTTTTGACATTTCTGATGAGACAGTTTTTTTTTGCAAAATATATTTGTTATTTAAATGACTGGGTACATTTAAATCCATGTGATTATAACTGAATATGCGATTTATTATGACTGGTTCTGTAGTTTATATTAATTTGTTATAAGAATTAGTGATGTATTATGTGGTTTAAATTTCTCGAAAAGTAGTTAAAAAGTTGCGGTATTCTTTTTTAGCGGACCAAAAAAGCTTTACAAAAGTAAAGTAAAAAATTTACCTATGACCTCGCGTTACACTTTTTTGGCACATACATAACAAATTTCCCAATTTGTTGTGCATATGTATGTGCGGGGATTTTTTTTAAATAACGTCTTCTTAATAATAATAATTTTTTTTTAACTTTATTTGCCAAATAACTAGTTTATGACGGTAGCATCAATTCTACGAAGGGTATTGCTTTCTAAGTTTTTATAGTTAGTGTAACCACTTGTAAAAACCGTAAACAAATTTAATTTAACAGAAGGATTGATTTTATTGGACTCCTACGAAGGTTAAGACTTTTTGCTTGAGTAAGCATACTATTAGCTACAATATTTGGTGTTAGCGTTATTATTGCTTTAAGCACAGAAAATATAACCATGAAATTATTTTACGAAAATAATAAATTTAGTTCAAGGTTAAGTTTATTTGTTTAAAATGCATGTTAAGTTTAAAGGAAGAACTGTGATAATTCCGTTTGAATGCAAATGCTCTTTGTCTAATAGTAGTAATAGTATTAATAATAATGAAATAGCGCTTATGCATTTTAATTGTTGTAAATCGATTAAATTATATGCAAGTTGAAGATGACGCTTGAATAATGATTAGCATTCAAATTATCGCGTTTGTTACACTACAATTACAAGTAATAAATTTAATTAACGTTAAACATCTTTTTGAAACGTGTTTTCACACTTATACAGTAAAGCGCATTAATTCTGATCCTTGGGTCAGTTTAGTAAGGCGAAGTCTGTAGTAAAATATACAAATGTCTAACAATAATACGATATAAAAAATTTAAAAATGGACAGACTGTCTTTATAAAGAGTAGTCTGAGAGGAACAAAAGGACAATCTTTGCATATTGCAACAATTACGAAGCAATACATAAGGTTGCCTTTTTTCCGCCCAGTACTTTATTACAGACTGCGCCTTTCTAATTTGACCCTAGTATTGTGACAGTCTCGCAAAGAATTTAATAAGAAATAGCGAAGAAATATTTGAAAAATATTACCTAATGTGGTGTAATTAAAAGTAGGAAGGACGTCGTGACTATAAACATCAAAAAATCCTGTACATACTCCTTGTGTCTGTATTTGAAATGCCACACATATGGATATAAATTTTTCTCTGATGGCTGCCTGAGTTCGACCCCTTTTTACGTCCCCTTGTATTATACTCACACCTAAATTAATAAAGTAGTATAGTTTCGAAATGTACAAGATAAAAATTTTCTTTTCCTACGGATTTTACGATTTTACCGCACAAATTTTCATTTTACAACTTACCTAATTTGCATATAGAACATGGAATTGTTTCTCTTATCGCATTTCCTGAAGGCTTCAGTGATTTTGTATTGTAATATTCTACTTCTATAAAGCTTAAATCATTTGCAATTTCTGTTTCTTTACCCTAAAAGAGTTAGTGCTAAAATCTTCAGGAATATTCCTCGTTGATTNCTTATGCATTTTAATTGTTGTAAATCGATTAAATTATACGCAAGTTGAAGATGACGCTTGAATAATGATTAGCATTCAAATTATCGCGTTTGTTACACTACAATTACAAGTAATAAATTTAATTAACGTTAAACATCTTTTTGAAACGTGTTTTCACACTTATACAGTAAAGCGCATTAATTCTGATCCTTGGGTCAGTTTAGTAAGGCGAAGTCTGTAGTAAAATATACAAATGTCTAACAATAATACGATATAAAAAATTTAAAAATGGACAGACTGTCTTTATAAAGAGTAGTCTGAGAGGAACAAAAGGACAATCTTTGCATATTGCAACAATTACGAAGCAATACATAAGGTTGCCTTTTTTCCGCCCAGTACTTTATTACAGACTGCGCCTTTCTAATTTGACCCTAGTATTGTGACAGTCTCGCAAAGAATTTAATAAGAAACAGCGAAGAAATATTTGAAAAATATTACCTAATGTGGTGTAATTAAAAGTAGGAAGGACGTCGTGACTATAAACATCAAAAAATCCTGTACATACTCCTTGTGTCTGTATTTGAAATGCCACACATATGGATATAAATTTTTCTCTGATGGCTGCCTGAGTTCGACCCCTTTTTACGTCCCCTTGTATTATACTCACACCTAAATTAATAAAGTAGTATAGTTTCGAAATGTACAAGATAAAAATTTTCTTTTCCTACGGATTTTACGATTTTACCGCACAAATTTTCATTTTACAACTTACCTAATTTGCATATAGAACATGGAATTGTTTCTCTTATCGCATTTCCTGAAGGCTTCAATGATTTTGTATTGTAATATTCTACTTCTATAAAGCTTAAATCATTTGCAATTTCTGTTTCTTTACCCTAAAAGAGTTAGTGCTAAAATCTTCAGGAATATTCCTCGTTGATTAAATGCATGCTTTAATTAATACAAATACGAAATATAATTGAATTATGCATCACCACTTTATTAACAATTTAACAAAAAAAATCATGCTACGAAAAGTTCATTAACCTATTTGAATTTGTGCATGTAAAAGTTGTGAATGTTTATATAAAATCTTGTGCTGGCATTGAAAAAAAAATACACCAAATCGATTATACCTAAAAAATACGTGTTATCTATAGTTGCTAACAATTTATTTTCTTATCTTATCGAAACGATTCACTATTCACAATATATGAAACTTCGGTTACGGGAAATCAGTTTTCCACGGACATTAGATATTCAATTGTTTTCGAACTCTCGCCAGTAGGATCAATGTCAAGGAATACGCGAGCATCATTTTAATAAATAATGGTTCGTCATCATTAAATCGTACATAAGTAGAAATAAGTTAGTGGTCGTAATTAAATGAAACAATAACATCTTATTATGTAAAGGAATCATGACTTAAAGTTATTGCTTCTTTACGTTGCATTCTAATAAGTGCAATTAATGTTAGTAAGATTAGTCGTTATCTATGAACGTGTACGTACCTCTCTTTTTGCAATGGAAGGTTGATGGATGTGTTCCTTTTGTTTTTCAATTAAAGGTTGTGAATGGGGCGCCACTTTGAAGTCCCACTGGTCGTCAAAATATGGGGAATATATGGGGGGATGTGTATCTTGAACAGGAAATCTCACAGTTATCTTTTAACTTAATTATAAATTTATTTCACTTACTTGAGGTTTTTAGTAAAGAAATTAATGATAACAAATGAAATATCTGAAACTAAGGATAAAAACTGTTAATAAACCAATAACAAATGAGATTTATTTATAGAAAGAACGTTAGCTAAGTGCAGATTGTTAATTAGTTATCATTAANAGCATGTTCAGGGGGCGGTGATGGGGGTTCGTCTATAGCAATCATTAAGTCCGGCTGTGATTTTCTTCTTTCGGTTTTCAGTTCTCGTTCTCGAAGCTGCATCTCTTCAAATTCACGCCTAATTCGTTCTTCAACCGGGACAAAGCCATTGCGTGGTGATTTGCCTAAAAGACATTGTAGTTTTCATTAGTTTACATAATCATTTTATTCCTAAATATGTAACATATAGACAAATTCTCAGTATTTTTGTAACTGTTGACAATAGACAATCGCAAAATAAATTAAAGGGGTTGATAACGTTATCAAACACCATAGGTTTTATAATATCAATCCTACTTTCTGTTGCCATAAGGAAATGAAGCGAAAAGAGAAATTATAATCATCCTCCGCTCAATGACGAATTAGACTTCTTATCAGCGTCACTAATTTCTACATTTCGTCAATTGAAATGTATATTGTAAATTATCGTAAGGAACCCTAAAAAAGGATTTCCTATAACAGTTCAATTTTAAATAATTAAAAGGATAATATTGGCTCCCTCCTATTCCTACTTAGCAGGACCGTAACGCTGTGTTGGACTCTCTCGCCCCTTGGTTAGCTTAGTGTAATTGAAGGACACCCCGTTTATACGTGTGGTACTCAGAAGTTATAGATACTTTTATTTACATATATAGGTACATAATAACAATTATAAATTTATTTAAACAATGTTTTCGAAAAGAAGGTTTCCGTCGCACTCTAGTAAGTAAATTTTACTATCAATTCGCCAAAAGAAGTACTTGTAACTTCGAAAATAGTAAAAAAGTAAATAAGTTTTATCTTCTCTGTTACTAATTAGGATTAACGTAAGCGTTATAAATTAGAACTGTTGTTGCAAATTTTAAAACTTTTAAAGGTAAAAGATGTTATTCATTCACAATCAGTATAAAAGCAAATTTGTTGGAATTTGTGTAATAAGTAAAAATTTTAATTGCTGTTGTTTTTAGCTGATATCTGCAATTAAAAAATCAATTGAGGTTAGATTTAATAGCAATTAAATGGCACAATAAAACTTTTAGTTAATGAAACATTAATTCAATACTACTAAAATGATCGATTTTGTCAAATTAGAGTTGTTTCTTTAATTAGTGAAAAATATTTCCTTAAGCGCAAATAGTTGGTTGCATTTTAAGTAAAAAGAAAATAGAAAAACTGTCAGACATTTGAAAATATCTGTATATATCTGAACACCCTTAAACAATATTTCAACCATTACGAAAGATATTTAATCTCTATTTCGGAACATTTATTTGCTATTAATTGAAAGTGAAAGTTTTTAAAGTATACACAGAATAATTTGGAACCTAGTGAAGAAGCTTGTGCTTGTACGATTGTGCATGAAATTGCGCAACTCACATTAAAAAGGTACATGTCATGTAATTAACTTCATGATCATTTAAGCTATACCTTGACTAAGTAGTAAGTCAGTTTTGTCAGCATATTTATAAATATACATTTTCATCGTTTCTTCGACCTTAACCTTATTATAAAACAAAACATGCGTGTAAATATTATTATTTCAACAGAATCCACTTTTCTGAAGCCTGACTAAATTTTTTAGGTATAAGGCAATCAAAAACAGTTGCAAGATTTGAAACAAAAACATATTATTAATACGTGGACGCACAGAAAAATGAAGCTTATATCATGAAATAGAATTTTAGGGCATGCAAGTTTTATATTGGCTAGAAATTGAACCCCTGCCGCTCGCCAGAGTAATTTTGAACATATTCAAATATGTATATTCCGATTGTCACAATTTTATGTTTGTGATTGATTTAAAGCTAACTATTTAATTTGAAAGCAAATTAGTCGAGTTTCCACTATATGCTAAACTAGTATCCATAAAAATGCAGTGTTAGGTACTAGATGTAACAATGTAGTGCGAAAGCAATGGTTTTGAGTTGGAATAACATATTTAAATTGAAAAGTTTAATTCTAGTTTTAACTAAATTATCATCTCATTATTTATTCTAAATGTGAAATGCTTTCCCAAAGAGTTTGAAGAGTTTTAAACGAGTGCAACATAATTGACCAAAAATGAAAATCTGTGATGTTTTGAGCCTTTTCAGGCATGAACGTCCTTCTTCTTTACCACCTTCAACCTTCGTCAACTAAACTTTTTATAAGACATAGATCGCTGAAAAATACTTTTTTCTAAATGTGTAAACAAGTGTTATTTTTGTTGCTTATTGGAATTTATATAAATTCCTATGAAAACAAATATTAGCATTAAATTTTAATTAACCCGGAGAATTAAATTTGTGGCGTGCTCTCCATATCGCTTCGAAAATCTATTCAAAACAAAACACAGGAAATACAAAAATGATGTACTGTCGTACTCATGGCAAAACGTACCTACTGATGTATGATTTGTAAAAAAAACAATAGCCGGTTACTCCTTATTTATTGTATAGGAACATGCATGACGAGCAAAATACCTACAATTAGTTTTATCAACTGCATATGTAGCAGCTATAATTTGATTGTCCGTAAATCAAATTTTTGATTTTTTTACGTGGAAAATAAATTATTGTGCTAATAATGCGTGAATAATTAGAAGACAAGAATGTAAAATTGAGAGCCATTTTTTTGGGATTGGTACTAAAGTTTTTGTTTAGGCAAAAGTCTACAACAAGCCAATTTAAGTGACAGTGCATTTGAATTGAAATACGAAGAATCTCTTTTTCACGCTTTACTTTATTTCAAATTTTAAAAATTTATTTGTTAAAATATTTGTAATACTGATAATATTAGAGTTTCCTTATACAGTTATCACACGTAGTGCCTATACTTTGTGCACATGTATTAAAATACAAGCAATGGGTGATACGGAGATTATATGAAATTGAAAATTTGCACTTGAACACGGTTGAATGTTTATTGAATTAATTGTCTAGTAACAAACAATACAATGGGAGTAATAAATTTTAAACAGTTATCAAAATATGTCGTTGATTACATTTTCCTTTTTCGGATTTTGAAGGGAGGTGAAAATTGAAAAAAATTGTTTTTCTAAACGTTTGTTCTAGTTGATACATAATAAAAAAACGTTCTAGGTTGTAATAGCGTAGGTTTGTACAGGAAATATGTTGAATTTTAAAATACCCAAATTGGGGAAAAGTTTTAATGCAGAGGGAAGTCAAAAAAAAAACAATTTACTATCGAAATTACTTGTTTTAATTAAAATTACTCTGAGGATAGTGCCAATTATTTTGAATATCAAATACAAAAACGATTTTGCTAATAACATTATCAATTATAAGTTTACTTACGGTCATTTTCTGTAGGTGGGTATTACAAAAACACAATCGAGCATATACAGATGAGAATCCAATAGTACTAATTGTAAGCCAGCTTCTCTTTCCTTAATTTCCGCGCCGCAATTAACACACTTTTTTAGATTTCGCGGTGTTACAATACAGAATACAGTACGTATACGCCTGTTGTCAAGGATAGCAGGTGGCCATAGATCGACTGATGTGAGTGTTTCTAATTCAAAATTTCCATGTCGCTGTCTTCTATAATACTACCTTCAGATGGTTTTATTTTTCGTGACGTTTGCAATTACGCTGTATAATAACAATCAATAAATTAATGCTTCATGTCGACTTTTTTTGTTATAATTGATGATGATAATCACTCGTTTTCGTATGTATGTAGTATGCAATGAAGAAAAAATGTTTAGCCAATGCTCGATTGTGGATGTTTTGTGTTAGTTGTGCTTATTGTCTATTTAACACAATTATTAGATGCATTTGCGGTTATTCGGTTACCATGACTGTACCACGCTTAATATATCATTCTCTAAATTTATTTACTACCTTCGGTTCTAATAAATAATAATCAATAACCTATTGTTATTTGTAAGTTTTAACCGAAATTGTTCATTGAATATAACGAATTGCCTATGAACTCTACCAAAAACAGATTGAACAAACAATTTTTAATAATTATCAATAAATATACGAAATCTACGTACAATTAATTTCATCCCACTACAGATTACCTTAAGTTATTGTCAAAAAAATTTTTTTTTGTATTCTTACCACTAAGCTTAATGGGTCTGGGATCGATTCCTGGCGAGGGTGTGCGCAGCAGAATTTTTTTCTCAAAATATTAGCCACTACCAAAAGTAAAAACAATTTTTGTCGCAAATTTTGTAGATACTTATACTCATTTAACATTCAACTCCACTAAGTTGAACTGATATTTGGCTTAGCTAATTAATTAGTGTACGATGTAACTTATAGTTTTTTATACTGTTTAATCTACAAGAATAATTTGACCCAATAAGTGTTATGCTTAACGTTGACTTCATATTCAGAATTAGGTACTCCAAATTAATCTGTGGAACTATTCCATTTTTAAAATTAGGCACTCTGATGCTACTAAATACTCTGATTTATTCTGCACTTAAAAATCTAAGTCGGTACTCAAGGAAAGAGTAGAGAGTAAAGAGAAGAGAGTTTGAGTTTGAAATTATACTCAATTTTTGAACGTCTCAAATGATTGTAGTACTCCTCTTTATACGTACGGTCCAGTAATTTCCGAGTTTTTACGAAATTACAAAAATTGTTCAATTTATTGGAATAGTACTTTTACTAGTTTACTAGTTACTATGTAGCGCTGAGAGTTCCTATTAAAAATATCAACCTACAAGTGTAATTTCAATGTAAAGTGGCTGTTACCATTGGAATAATTTGAATCAAATGAAAATTCAGCAAACTATTAATGAAGCGCACGAAAATTTAACTTTTCATTGATTTGGCCAGTTACTGGCCACCCAGTTACAAAATTGATAGTTAAAATTAAAAAAATACCGTCAAATGTTAATGTACACTGAGCAAATGAATTTATGTAAATAATAATTATTTCTGATTATTATATGAAAGAAGCTTAAAACATATTAGCGTCATTAGAAGAATTCCAAGTATACTTCCTTAATTTGTCGTTTATCAAAAATTGTATACATATAAAGGGAATTTCTAAAAATAAGTATTTAGAGATAGGGTAAAAGTTTAACCATCAATTTATAAACTTTATACTTCAACCAATAAAGATAATTTATTGATATCAGCCAAAGAATTCGTGTGTAACAATTGCTTACGTGTAGAAATGTTAAGTATGTTTGGATTAATTAAAAAATTGTAATTTGCTTCCTTTCAAACAATATACTAAGGTGTATAAAGTTAAAAATCAGTCTGAATTATAAAAGTAGGAAACTCAAAAGATGTAAAATTATTGTATCAATACTTTATTACGAATTCATAATTTTAATGGTTCTTTTATATGTTCATTTTAATTTCTAACGATAAGTTTGAAAATATATGAACGCCCTGTATATTTAAACATGTAGTTCACGATGGTCGAAATAGTTATAACAGAGAGTAGGTCATTCAGTGCATTTAGGAATGCTGTGTTCATTTTACCTACCAACTTATCGACTTAACCTCATTCAAAGGGGGCAATTTATTGACGGTTAATGCAAACAACAGTGAACATATAAAATAAATTCCACTCAATTTCAATAAAATGTCACAAGTAGATGTTGGATTTTTAGAAGAATGTGTTCCTTGGCAAGTGGAGAGTAGGTTATTTCCTAGTAAAGTGGGTGGAAAGCCTGCATGGTTAGATTTAAAGAATTTACCAACTCCAGAGGATTTGCAATGTTCTGTATGTTCTAAACAGATGATATTTTTATGCCAAATTTATGCACCATATGAAGAAGACGAAAATAATTTCCATAGGACTTTATTTATATTTGTATGTAAAAATAAAGATTGCTGGCAGTATAATAAAAGTGACACTATCAAAGTATTTAGGAGTAATTTAAGAAGAGCTAATGATTTCTATCCACCAGAGTGTCCTGAAGATAAACCTCAACCTGAATTCAATCCCCAAAAATGGGTAGAACTTTGCAGTCTTTGTGGTTGTAAGGCAGAGAAACATTGTAGTAAATGTAAAAAGGCAGCATACTGCTGTCGAGAGCATCAAGTTATACACTGGAAAGAATTTCATAAAATTAGTTGTGGAAAAAATGAGGAAGACCCTTATGAGCAATCTTCACTCTTATTTTCCCAATGGGAACTCGTTATAGAGCCAGAGGAAGTGAAACAGAAAAAAGTTGATATACAAAAGGAACTTGAGTCATATGAACGATTAAAGCAGCAGAATAAGGTTGGAACAATGGCTGAAGTTCCAGAAACAGAATTACATTCCTATGCTGAAAAAGACCAGGATAAAGAGTTCTTAAATTTTCGTGATAGAATTAGTACTCAACCAGATCAAGTTGTCAGATATGAAAGAGGTGGAAGTCCATTATACATAGCTAAGGATCCTAAACCAAATTTAATACCTGAATGTGAAGTCTGTGGTGGACCTAGACAATTTGAGTTTCAGATTATGCCCCAAATGCTGTCAATGCTTAAACAATATGACTTGGACTGGGGTGTTCTATTGGTATATACTTGCAAAGCAAGTTGTACCAAGGAAGGGTATAAAAGAGAATTTATATTTAAGCAAGATGTGTCGGGCAATCTTAAATAGTAGCACTTGTAAATCTTTTTTTTTAAATTGTACTAAGAAAAGGTAAAAGTTTAAAATAAAAGAATTTTTTCTTTTTTCGAAAAAGGCCATTTTATTTCCTCCAGCAAACAAAATAAAATAATTTCTTTACAGTGCACCATAAATTAAGTACTTAAATATGTGGTGATTAAATTAAATAATATCCACAGAATAGTCCAAATAGTACGATAACTTTTATATTAAATAGAATTTTTAAANATAGTACAGAAGCAGTATTAATAAGAGCAGTAGCAATTTAACAATATTTTGGCAAGATAAAGATAAAATTAGCAGATTAGATTAGGCATAAATAAAATTGAAACTGACAAAAGTGTTGCACCAGGGACAAGTTTAGATAGTTTTTGATAATAAATAATCGCATTATAAATACAGCAATATTACAACTTATGTATGTAATATTGGCAAATATATATTAAGTTAAAAAATATTACAGACTTTCGCATTCTTATTTGACCTTAATGGTGAAATTTAGGAACATACAGAAGGCACATTAATTTAATTTTATATTCCTAAGTCTATATAATATGATACCCATTACAATAAATAAGGCAACGTTTCATTTTAAAGTATAAATACTTGAAAATGTCGCTAAATACTTAAACTTTATCAATTTAATTTTATCACATATGTAACTTTTTTATATGTTCCCTCATGAAACTAATCGCATCAAAGCACTATTACATAGGTAAATATAACAAAAGGAATGTTACATAAGCGCATTACAGTTAGTAGACATTGTTTTCCCTGAAACAATTAATTTTACAAACTAATAAGTAGAGTTGATTAATCATGGCATAACCCATTTATTTTTAATTTAAATGCGAACCTGTTGATTTTTTTGTATGATGCTCTCCCATTGGCGTATGAGGTTGCTTGGTGTTTGCAGTTCTTCATCGTTTTCAACGTCGCATAATTCAGCTAAAGATCGTGCTGATTTTAATGAAACAGGCGCGGAAACGTCGGTGAAATCTTCCAATTCGTTCAAATGAGTAAACGATTTTGCTGATCTTATAGAAGCATGTTCAGGGGGCGGTGATGGGGGTTCGTCTATAGCAATCATTAAGTCCGGCTGTGATTTTCTTCTTTCGGTTTTCAGTTCTCGTTCTCGAAGCTGCATCTCTTCAAATTCACGCCTAATTCGTTCTTCAACCGGAACAAAGCCATTGCGTGGTGATTTGCCTAAAAGACATTGTAGTTTTCATTAGTTTACATAATCATTTTATTCCTAAATATGTAACATATAGACAAATTCTCAGTATTTTTGTAACTGTTGACAATAGACAATCGCAAAATAAATTAAAGGGGTTGATAACGTTATCAAACACCATAGGTTTTATAATATCAATCCTACTTTCTGTTGCCATAAGGAAATGAAGCGAAAAGAGAAATTATAATCATCCTCCGCTCAATGACGAATTAGACTTCTTATCAGCGTCACTAATTTCTACATTTCGTCAATTGAAATGTATATTGTAAATTATTTGGGGAACAACAGTTTCAATGAGAATTTAATGAAAGATTGAAATCCATTATTACAACACTTATTTGACAAATATTTTTTCCTTAGCCAGTTAATTAAATCCAAAGTAAATAAAATTTTGTTTCGATTCCCTTTTGTTATTATGTGAATGTTTAATGATAGCAGCACTTAAATAATTTATAAAGCAATTTATCAGGTAGTCATATTACCTCATTATTTCTTCTGAGATTTTATTCATTTCATGGATGATAAAATTATTGAAAATCAGCATTTGATTGACCTAAATATTACTATTTACCTTGACAATACAATTTAATATGGTTTGTGATTTTCTACTAGTAATTAGAGAAAAGTTTTATTAACTAATCATATGAAATGTGTTTTTAACTTTTCCCTTTTTGAAATTGATGTCAGTATTTATAGCACATAATAAATTGCTAATCACAAATTGAATGTAATCGCTGATAAATTTTTATCAATAATAAGCAAATAAAAAAATTATCCAACCTGATAAATATTTAAATTCAAGTTACATTTTATATTAAAATATGGTTGTAATAGGCAAAAGTGCATATTTTTATAATAGCTTTAAGTCTCATTTAATTCTTGTTTCCTAATACTGAACTATAAAATGAAATATTGATTACTAATGAAGCTCTTTATAGTACTAATAATGTTACTGAAACTTTTATTAAAATTGCTGCACCCAATCTAAGAATTTCTTTTTCTATATTTACCTGGCTGTACTTTGGGGGGTTCTATCACATCAGAGTTGTTCCATGTATCTGATGGAGTTTTTGCACCATTAGATATTGGCGAAAATCCTTGTACTTTACCCCTGGACTTAATAAATCTATGCATGACACCCTTACTAGTGGTGTTTGGTTTAAAAAGCCTGTTGTTGTCAACACTAGTTTTTCTTTCATTTACAGAAGATACAGAGTGAGCTCTTTCATATGAAACATTTATTTCTTCATTATTAATACTTAAACTGTCCCCATTAACACTGCTTCCATTACTTCCATTTGATAATAGCGTTGTGTTGTGATCCAAAAGGGCTGAAGTTGATTGAGAACGAGCGTAATTATTTTTTAACTCCTTTTCCCTTTGAACAACTTCCGAAATTTCACGCTGAATACGTTGGAATGTTTCCTCTGACCCGGACATGATTATCTAAAAAGTAGTTTAAAACTATGTTTATTAAATACACGACAACCTGTTGCTTCGCTTTTTAAATGGAGAAGGTACTCACGGTTACTAAAAGCTCATTATTGCTTTCTCTTTAATAAAATTCTTATCAGAAATCGGCAAAAACGGTCGAACGATTTATCTCATGTCAAGTTTCTGTTATCAGAACCGATAATTTTACATGTACGCGTTCTTTACACATTTTACGAATCTATTAGTAAATCTGGTTATCGATCAATAATCGATTTTGTATTATTGTATTGGTAATTTATGCAGGAAATATAACGGCAACTGCTATAGTATGTATATAAAATAATTACAGGTATCTCACTACATTTACTTACACGTCAAATGATTTTCTATTTGGGTTCTAAGGGATAACATTCGTAGCTGATGAATAAACTATTAAGCATGAATGAAACTAGGAAGCTGTTTTATACTCATTCATAATTATTTATTCATAAAACACCTGTACCAGGTATATCGAAAAAAGAACATCGTTACTTAGTCTATTCGCCACTAGGTGGTAATAAAGTGTACGAGTGTATTAATTGCGTTAATGTGCGCATTTACGATTAGTAAAGTTTTTTTTTATGTTATACGAACGAGTAAAAATGAGTGACAATAGTGCAGAAAAAGAAGAACGTAATCAAGGTAATAGTATCGAAGTAGATGCTCCAAAACGAGTTATTCACTTTTGTGATGGATCAGTTGAAGAATTTAGCGATGAAGAGGTTGATTCTTGTGACGCACCCATTACAGAAAATACCGAAGTTGATCCAGTTAGTAATCATGTGAAGTTGAACGTTTCACGCAGGTGGCGCCACACATAACTTCTCATGAAAATTGCTGTACAGGGTGTTTCTTGTTCGTGGACATGAATATTTATAAATTTGCTATATTTTACCACAAATTTTAAAAAAATCGGAAATAACATTAAATATTGTATGCATTTAAAAAAATAAATTACGCGAAGAATTTTGTTACGTTGATTCGTATTGTCAATAGTCGGCCATTTTTATTGCTTCACTATGACGTAGTGTCAGCCATCATTCTTTTCTAATTGTTGCTGTTGTCGGCCATCATTCTTTCCTAATTGTTGCTGTTGTCGGCCATCATTCTTTTTCAATTGTTGTTGCATTGTTACTGATGTCGGCCATTATGGTTTTTTAATAGGTGTATAGTAATCAATGATTAAAATTTAAATGAATTGTTTGTAAATAGGTATGCAACACATAGCATAAGAAATTGCTAATACTAACTTTCATTTACGTAATACTACTTTGCCCTGTGTTGACAGCACTCATAATTTTTCTTATATATAATTTTAAAATTATGGCATTTTAATAGTTAAATAAAAATGATTTTGATCAGTAATTTATCAAAATTATGGATCGCGGTTTCTAACTTATTAGTTCTCGGCACTTATACGTGGTACGAAATCAAAGTCTGCCGCTTAAAGCTTCTTGGCACTAACTTGTTTCAAAACACCAAAAGAAAAAGAAAAAATTCTTACCCTTTTCTTGTGAAATTATGTTTGTTCGTATATCCCGTTGTTTCAACTAATGGTAAATGATTACAAAATAACAGTTGTATTTTAGCAAATTTCAGTTAGTATTGGAATATTGCGTCTAATGAATAAAACCATACATTGCACAGTTGAACTTTGAGTAAATTTACTCGATAGAAATACAAAACACTTCGTTGTCTTATCTACAGGGTCTTCTTTTGGCTGTTACTATTAAAAATTAAATATGGCGCTTATGAGATATTATTTTCGTTAAAATTCAGTTATCAAATAATTTGATTACACGTAGTTTATTCAAGGGATATCACATTTTGTTTCCTACTTTTCAATACAACTCCAAAAGTGACAGTTGTATACCAAATATAATATACTTTTGATATAATAGGCATACCGAACATTGGCCATGTAAATAAAAAATAAGGAATGGTTTTTAAGTGGACGATTAATTAAAGATTATTTTCATTCTTAAGTAATACAAAATTGTCTTGTGATTTCTTAATGCATCAAAACATGGATAGCTACTTTTAGCCTAAAATATTGTAGCTTGGTCAGCTATCAGTTATATATAAAAGTTTTTCTTGAGATCTATATATTATATTTTCTAAATATAGTTTTGCATTCTATCATTTGTAGAATTAAAATTAAAAAAATACCGTCAAATGTTAATGTACACTGAGCAAATGAATTTATGTAAATAATAATTATTTCTGATTATTATATGAAAGAAGCTTAAAACATATTAGCGTCATTAGAAGAATTCCAAGTATACTTCCTTAATTTGTCGTTTATCAAAAATTGTATACATATAAAGGGAATTTCTAAAAATAAGTATTTAGAGATAGGGTAAAAGTTTAACCATCAATTTATAAACTTTATACTTCAACCAATAAAGATAATTTATTGATATCAGCCAAAGAATTCGTGTGTAACTATTGCTTACGTGTAGAAATGTTAAGTATGTTTGGATTAATTAAAAAATTGTAATTTGCTTCCTTTCAAACAATATACTAAGGTGTATAAAGTTAAAAATCAGTCTGAATTATAAAAGTAGGAAACTCAAAAGATGTAAAATTATTGTATCAATACTTTATTACGAATTCATAATTTTAATGGTTCTTTTATATGTTCATTTTAATTTCTAACGATAAGTTTGAAAATATATGAACGCCCTGTATATTTAAACATGTAGTTCACGATGGTCGAAATAGTTATAACAGAGAGTAGGTCATTCAGTGCATTTAGGAATGCTGTGTTCATTTTACCTACCAACTTATCGACTTAACCTCATTCAAAGGGGGCAATTTATTGACGGTTAATGCAAACACTCACACCTAAATT